TTTTTTTTTTTTTTTTTTTTTTTTTTTTTTTTTTTTTTTTTTTTTTAATGTATTGTATCAATTTGTCTGCCGTTCTTTTGGAGCACGTGGTCACGGTCAAGATGCCGATGTTTCTAGATAGTTGGTATGTAATGCCGGGTATCAGGGGACTGGATTTGGGCTGGTAAGCGAAACTGGCTGATGCTGCCAGGATAACTCCGGGTTGAATTGTGAGGTCCCCGACCTCGTCTCTGTTGCGTAATATATTTGAAGCTTTTCAAAAAAAAAAAAAAAGAAAAAAAGCTATATTCTTCTCTCTTCAAATCGTTCGATGTATTTTGTATGCCCTTTTTATTTTGTGAAGCGGCTTGAGCTGTTGATTATTAGAGATGTGTTTTTATGACCGTTCTCACAGGAATGAGAGGTAGTCCGAAAATGACACACAACACTCTCCGTGCATTTGGACGCTCTGCGAACCAGGTCCATTCCGACCAGTCCACCATGTTGAATGTATCTGGTCAAGAGCAAATCATCCAAATGCATGTCGAGTGTTGTTTACTGGACTTAGGCCCATCCAGGGGACAGTTGGCGTCACATGCCTGGACAGTTTACCTCCTTCCCCTCTCCAAAAACCTTTCTCCTTCCCCTGCGTACACATGCACGACGGATAGGAGGACTGGACGTTCTATGAAACTGATCAGAACAGATGCTACACTTTATCTATTTTTAGCCAAAAGGCCGAGAAAGGTATGGACGTTCTATTCAGGTGACGACTGTAGGATTCCATGCAGCTCGGTAATAAACAATAGCGCAGAAGCATTGTAAGAAAAGTGTGAGCCCTCACTCCAGTAGCTCAGCACTCGTTCATGTTTTGGACTTCACATTGGGACGTTGTGTGTGTGTGTGTGTGTGTGTGTGTGTGTGTGTGTGTGTGTGTGTTTTCTGCGGGTGGTGCATATCACCCTATGGGCCTCGTTAGACACTCCTTGTGGACCCGAAATCCACAAGGAAATGATCGTTCCACCTGTCCTCGGGGAAGATTCTCGAAAAAAAATGTCTCCTTGTGGCGTCCTTGTGGCCACAACCAATTTTTCCTTAGCCCCAAGGGACCTCCCGAGGTCCCTCGTAGCACAAGGAAGCGCGAATTTCGGAGCGGCGAGGGCATGCATAGACGTACAATTTCGGTTCGAGGGTGGTCCAGACGTGGTCCAGCGAACCGGAGCACGGACATCCCTGCGTCGAAATTTTGCACGGCGCCCCAACGGCTCCAAACGGTAACCGGCGTCGGGAGGCCTCCGTCCGTCGACGCGAAACGCCGGCCGGCGTCCAGTTCAGATGCTGCGGCGGGCGATCGTCGACAACGGTCCGAAATTCGAATGCTTTTCCCACCGGGCGCCCTTTCGACGACGCCAGTCTCATTGGAGAAGATCGTCGTTTTCTTCGATCGTCGTCACGCCTCCCACATTGGAGCAGAGAACTTTCACCGATCTTTCTTGTGTCGACGGGCTTGTTCGTTGAAGGGTCGACCGCCGACGTCACAGTGCAGCCCTTCGAACGGCCCTCACATGGCCGACCTGCTGCACAGGCTGCCTCTGCTGGTCCTGGTCGTCGTGCTGCTTCTCGTCGTTGTCTTCTTCCACGTGTGTTTCGTTGGCCTCGTCCCGATCGCGGCGCGCAGAAGGAGATCTTCGAAGAAAGCCGACAGGATGGATCGACGACTGGGCAACGGCAGACTGGTAGGCACAACCTCCGGAGGGAGCAATCGGCAACACAGTGCGGGGTCTGTGGCGAAGCGGCTGTACGACCCGAGGTCGTATGCACACCTGCCTTCTCACGAGATTCCTCTGCCGCCGTCGGATGATGAGGGGGGAGACGCCAGGTCGTCGACTTTGCCGTTGGGAAGTGGGTCGACGCAGGAATGGGCGGCGACGCAGTCGTGCGGAGGCGGGCGGGTGGAGACCCCGTGGTCTTACACGTCACTATTGAACGAGGAGCTGTGCGACGACGACGGCAATGCAGCGGTTGATCTCAGCTTCCAGTTGTCCAGCAGTAGCAGATTAGCGGTAACGCACACTCGGATCATCAATCCCCACCCGGGTGTGGATTGCGCGGACAACACGCACGGTGGTAGCAGCGGGCCTCGAGACGGCGGTCTGCCTCAATCGCTTCGTGAACGTGGTGGTAATCGGAATGAGTCGACGTCGATCGTCGGCGGAGGAGTCGGTGCGCGTGAACGTCCGGAGTGGATGCAGTTGTCACCTGCGTCGCGAAGCGGATCCGGCGCTCCTTCTGCACGGCAGCGGCCGGAGGTTTTGCGTGAGGAAGGTGCGGACGTACAGCGCGACGGCAGGCAGCTGTGGGCAGAGTGCAGGCAGGCCTTGGAACGGAGACAATCACAAGAGGGGTGCAACGGCTCCACGAGGACAAAGGGGACGAAGCTGCTGCTGAGGAGGCCCAGGGGTGTGACGACGTTGACGGTGACGACGATTGCAACTCCAACGATTTGTCGGACATTAGGCCGCTGGGGAGGAAGGCGACGAAGGGTGGAGCGACTGCGAGGAAGGGTCCCGCTGCAAAAAGTCGACGGAGCAAGAAAATGGATGACGACACGGGCCGAAGCGATGGCGAGGGCGGCCGAAATTTCTGGTCGGTGTGAGACACGATCGCACTCGTGAGGGCAAGAAGGGACCAAGATCTGTATTTCGCGGGCATGGGCACTAAGTTTCGCCTGCATGAAAACGAGGGAGTGGAAGTGGGAGGACGTGCGGGCGAGGTTGCAGTCGATGGGCGTGACGAGGGATGTCGTCGACTGCGGGAAGAAATGGGACAACTTGATGCAACAATTCAAGAAGGTCCACAAGTTCCAGAACCTCTCCGACGGGAAAGACTACTTCAAGATTGCATCGAAGGACAGGCGGTCGCAGGGCTTCAGCTTCGTCATGGACCGGACGGTGTACGACGGAATGGAGGCCATGACGAAAGGGGATCACACGATCCACCCGAAAAATTTGGCGAACACGGGGGCGACCGGTGGGGTTCAGATGCCGGCAGGCGCGGGGGCTGCAGCGGACACCATGGCCACAGAGGGTGGAGGGGACGCAGCCGATGAGGAGCAGGGGTCGACGAAAGACTCCACATTCAGCGCGGGGAGCGGCGGCGGTTATGGGAAGAGGAAGAACATGCAGCAACAAACCTTTGAGGCCGTTGCCGACGTCATGGAAAAACATGGTGCGCTTATGGCGAGCACAATGGACAGCGCGAGCAAGCGGCAATGCTCGATGATGTCACGTCAGTGCGAAATCCTGGAGAGCGAAGTCGAAGTGCAGAGGAAACTTTATGCTGCGGCGGATGAGGCGAACAGAAGGATGTGCCAAGCCCTGATGGAGATAGCAAAAACCATCCGCGAGAGATCATGAACGATGCTGCCAGTAATGTCCACCGTTGCTTTCCTGGCCTGTCTCTCCTGTTGTTGCGCCTGAGGAGATGGCGACGTGTGTGTGTGTGTGTGTGTGTGTGTGTGTGTGTGTGTGAGTGTGTGTGTGTCTTCAAATGCTCAGCAACATTCTTTTTAAAATCTTTGTTTTTTTGTTATTTTTTAGTTGTTGCGCTTCGTTTTCGAGGACAGTAGTATGTGCTGCGTTCGCGGTCTCCACAGCGAGAGGGCCAGTTGTTGGAGTGGTTATGGGGTTCGACGATTGCGGTGGACGGAGGTGTCACCGTTCGTGTCCAGGAATTTGCGCGCCCAAGGGGGGGGGGGGGGGGGGGGGGGGGGGGGGGGGGGGGGGGGGGGGGGGGGGGGGGGGGGGGGGGGGGGGGTGGGGTGGGTGGATGTGTGCGTTTTTTTTTTTTTTTTTAGAAAGCCATATCGGCTGGTGGAGAGTGTCTGAACGCGTCGAGCCACGACGCGTGGAATGGTCTGTGGGCGCCCCCTATCTCGCCTGGACGTGGCAACAGTTGAAGGGAGTGCGCGCGAGGGAGGTCTGCAGAGTTGCTGTCACACGTTGTCAGGCGGCCACAAACAGTGCGCCGCCTGAAATCTACGGTTTTGCGACTTAGGCGCAAAGACGAGTCTGAGTTTTGACGGTACTCTGGTTAAACCAGGCAGCGGAAATTAAGGGAGCTCAGGGCGCCCTTGATTTTGGGCGCGCTGAACCTTAAGGGTAACCCTCAAAGATGGCGAGATGGGTGGTCGCACTCGGCACATCAACGGACCGTCATTTTCGGCCGTCCAGAGGGGTAGACCCAGATTGGCCTGCCGCGGAGAGGCATCGCGGGAACTGACCTCGCAGCCACATTTTTTGCGGCATACGACCGGGGCCAAAATGAGGCCTCAAATTTTTGTCTATTTTAGTACCATAATTAAAGATGGGGAAAAGGGATTACGACCAATAGGGGAGAAGGGGAAAACATAATATCCCTTAATTTCTTTATTTTTAACGGCATTAAATTCAAGGGCAATACCCTTGTTATTTTATGTTCCCGGCAATGGAATTAAAAACATAGAAAAAGATTAAAAATGGTAAAAGAGAAAACAAACAAAAAGAATTCGATCATTTATTCAAATTTTCTCGGAATTTAATTTTCGGGAACTTACAGTTAATTTACTATTTCCGACAATAGAATTAAGAAAAGGGAAGAATGATGAAAAACGATGAAAGGGACAGGAACCCATGACCATTGGGAGATTGGCCTAATTTCGCCTCGAATACCCGCCATCAGCTCTGACTCCGGATTTGATCATTTTCCCCGGTTTTTAACAAGTTAACACTACTGTCGATGGTCGAGATTCCCTGCGACGCTTTCCCTGGTGTGCTTGAATACTAACATTACCGCAGTTGAGATGTTCTGAGAGCAGGAGTCGCATGGACAGCATGGGGTGGTGCTGCCTTGGGTCGACTATGGTGTTTGGTTCGGTACGGATACGAGGGTCGTTACGGAGTGGCTACGTCCTACGGTGTCTGACGTGCTTCAGGTACGGTATGGGCCCGGTGACATCTGTCTCACTACGGTGACTTATTTTCAGGTTTGAGACAGCTGCAGTGATTTATTATCAGGACCGGGGCCACTACGACAGTTATTCCAGGCGGCAGTTTGTTTTGAGGACCGGGAACGTTGCGGCATTCTATATCAGGTTTGGGATAGGTTATCATGGCATGATTGTACGGGTTCGGCATTCGCATGGCACAACAGCCCGGTACTGGATTTCGGGTTTGGTCAGGTTCGGTGGCATCGCGGTGTTTCGTTTCAAGTTCGACGCCCTCACGACAATTTATTTCGGAACCTCTGCGGTGATTTATTTTCAGGTCCGGGATCATTGCGACGGTTTACTTCAGGTTCGGTACTATTACCGCGCCGCTGCATCTTGCCGTGTTCGACATGTTTCAGGTACGGTACGACGAGCCTGTGAGACCGGTACCACTGTTTTCTTTTTCCTCCGTGGCGCGGCGGACTATTTCCNTACTAACATTACCGCAATTGAGATGTTCTGAGAGCAGGAGTCGCATGGACAGCATGGGGTGGTGCTGCCTTGGGTCGACTATGGTGTTTGGTTCGGTACCGATACGAGGGTCGTTACGGAGTGGCTACGTCCTACGGTGTCTGACGTGCTTCAGGTACGGTATGGGCCCGGTAACAGCTGTCTCACTACGGTGACTTATTTTCAGGTTTGAGACAGCTGCAGTGATTTATTATCAGGACCGGGGCTACTACAACAATTATTCCAGGCGGCAGTTTGTTTTGAGGACCGGGAACGTTGCGGCATTCTATATCAGGTTCGGGACAGGTTATCATGGCATGATTGTACGGGTTCGGCATTCGCATGGCACAACAGCCCGGTACTGGACTTCGGGTTTGGTCAGGTTCGGTGGCATCGCGGTGTTTCGTTTCAAGTTCGACGCCCTCACAACAGTTTATTTCGGAACCTCTTCGGTGATTTATTTTCAGGTCCAGGATCATTGCGACGGTTTACTTCAAGTTCGGTACTATTACCGCGCCGCTGCATCTTGCCGTGTTCGACATGTTTCAGGTACGGTACGACGAGCCTGTGAGACCGGTACCAATGTTTTCTTTTTCCTCCGTGGCGCGGYGGACTATTTCCTGCACACTTGCAGTCCGAGAAGGCCCTGGTCGGTCAGACCATGGGACTGAAGCGGATATAGGGGAGAACAGTGAAGGAAATGGGATGGCATGCCAGGCGTACCCAGCACACCGCTGACTCGAGCTGCAGTGAGCCGGGAGGAATTCGGCGCGGGGCGGTTAAAGGAGAGGCAAGGCGGGCGAGGCGCACCCAGCGAAGCGGGAAGTGGAGTCCATCGTGCACGACGCGCTCGAGGGAGAGGGGAAACCAGACAGTGTGTGCTGCGTTAAGGGTACTCTTCGAGAGAAGACTGACTTGAGATAAGCTTGTTTAAGGGGGAGATTCGGCAGTTGGGCGACCAGGGAGAACAGGGACTGCAGCGCGTGAGCTGTGACCGCAGGGAACGCAGTGAACGAGTGTGCCGGAACAGCGGACCAGGAGTCCACAGCGGAGATGGTGTTGGGTCATGCCTGCTCGCGTGAGGAAGCAGGCTGAGGTCATGGCGTGTGTGGGAGCTGCAGTGAGATGGAGCCTTTCCCCCCGCAAATATGTGGTGAAGAAGGTGAGTGAGCGAGAGAGTGAGTAAGAATGAGGAAAAGAGAGTGAGAGTGAGTGAGAGAGAAAGAGCGTGCAGCGAGAGAGAGAGAGAAAGAGTGAGCAGCGAGTGGGAGAGAGAGAGTGAGAGTGAGTGAGAGAGAAAGAGTGTGCAGCGAGAGGGAAATAGTGAATAAGGGAAAGAGAGAGGGTGCACTGGTTGAGAGAGAGAGTGCGCCTAGAATGAGTGGGAGAGTGGGTAAGCCAATGAATATAAAGATCTAGAACCAGCTTTCTCACCACTAAGCGGCTGTGATCAGGAACGTTGAAATCAATCTGCTGAGAATGTCTAGGGYAACTGTAATTCYCGTCSAGCAGCGCTGGATYGCCGTYSAGTATCCAATCTRAGTCRCTRATTAGTCGCTGGCTCACTGACTATTGAGCCGCTAATTAGCCCTTGAATCACTGAAATGCAGGGAATTACTCAAAATTGAGYTGTTGATTGGTTTGCTGGTTCGCTGAGCAGTCAAGATCGCTGATCAACAGTAGGATCAAAGTGAATCAAGCCATCAGGTTGGCTCATGGAAGCACTCAAAATTGAGTGGTTAATTCGTTTGCCGGTTCGCTGAACAGTCAAGTTCGCTGTTCAACAGCAGGACAATGTGCATCAAGTCATCAAGTTGGCTCATGGAATTACTCAAAATTAAGCTGTTCATTGGTTTGCTGGTTCGATGAACAGTCGAGCTCGCTGATTAGCAGCAGGACCAGTGTAAATCAAGCCCTCAAGTTGGTTCCTGGGATTTAACCAAAATTGAGCTCCTAATTAGATTGCAGGCTCAGATCGCGGTCGTATGCCAGCCAAAGAGACTGTGCGCAGTGTGTGTGTGTGTGTGTGTGTGTGTGTGTGTGAGAGAGAGAGAGAGAGAGAGAGAGAGAGAGAGAGAGAGAGAGAGTCTCAGAGAGAGAGAATGGGTGAGAGAACGGGTGAGGGAGTAAGTAGGGAAGAGACCAAGCGTGTGAATAAGCGCACTACTTTCCCGCATATATGGCACAGATGATTTGGTTGTATCTGAACGGGGAAAAGCCCAGATACAATGGAAACCGTGTGTTCTAAACGAGGGAAAGAGTATGAAAGGCAACAAACTCATTGATCTAATACAGCCCCGATGACTGTGTGCTCTATTCAAGGGGGGGGCAGTGCCAATGTAGCCCTCCAGTTGTTCTTACTGTATGTGCTGCTCAGTGCTCACCATGACATGCTGCTACATGGTCGGGCAACAGGATGCTACGAATCCGGACCCGGATGACCACCGATTCATTGGAGATCGATGCATAGCTGTGAATCATTTGACAAGAGGTACCCGCCTAAATCAAGTAAGAAGCCCATACAGAACAGATCATGGCTGTTACATCTGAATTTTCTCTCTAAGATGGACACGCGGCGACACCGAGACCCCCCGATTGAGTACAAGGTCATCATTGATCATGAGTGAGTAATCAAACAGTCGGACGTTTAGTTTATTCCGTGAGTTGTGCATAGTGGGCATGAACACACACACACAAACTAAGTGAGGGAAGAGAGAGGGGAAGAGAGAATTGGTATGGGAGAAAGTGCGGGAAGGCGCCGTCGGAGAACTCACTTTATTTATTGGTTTATTTATTTATTTATTTGAGTCTAACCTGAAGAGGAACCAGAAATCATCCAAGACGTCAGACACTTACTGTTCATTAGGAGATCAACCAGTTTTATGCTATTGTTCTACACGGTTCATCAACGAATCAGACCCCTCCCGCTCATCAAGGGAAGGGGCAGACACGCGCTGGTCTCCAACGGATCAGACATGGACTGTGCATCAAGGGGGCAGACACAAGGTGCTCATC